TTTTGCAGTATGTGGGCCTCTCACTGTTGTGGCCTCTCCTGTTGTGGAGCACAGGCTCAACGGCCATGGCTCACGGGCCCAGCCACTCCGCGGCATGTGGGATCCTCCCGGACCGGGGCATGAACCCGTGTCCCCCGCATCGGCAGGCAGACTCTCAACCACTGCGCCACCAGGGAAGCCCTAGTGTTTCTTATAATCTTAAAAAAAGTTGAACAAGAAAGGTATTTTCCCTTTTTTAATTAAAAAGTTTTTTTTTTACTTTTTATTTTATATTGAAGTATAGTTGGTTAACAATGTGATAGTTTCAGGTGTACAGCAAAGTGATTCAGTTATACATATACATGTATCTATTCATTTTCCAATTAAAAAATGTATTTTCTTGATAACTTTGGGCCATCAGTATTAACATGTCTTACTAACTATGACACAGTAGAGAGACTATGGGCCTTTCAGGGGCGTGTTTCTGAATCTGGGATCTGAGTCCGAGTTCTTAAGTCTGCACTCAGGCTTTTCTGTGTCCTCTCTCACTGTCAGGCTGTCATGTGTGGCCGAGTCAGTGCTCTTGCCTGCGAGCGCTTCTCCTTTTTTGACATTTGCTTCTAATTTGCTGTGTTCTTGTAAAGTAGATGTCTTGAGAATTGTGTGCAAAGCAAGAGTAAACAGGATTTGAGTGATGGACCAGCAGATATCCTGGGCATAATATGCTTTATTATATGAGTTTTGTAACATTAGTTTTGGCTGCTCAGAATTAATTTTTTATTACTTCCAGAATCTTAGCAATGTTCCAAATTTTTAAGATAGCTGAGGTCTAAACAGCTCAAGTGTTGAATGACTCCATTAAAATATATACAAACACACATGCATTTTTAATTATTATAATAATTTATACTCCCTGGAAAACTAAAAAATATAAACCATATTAAAAAATAAAAATCACTCAAAAGCCTATTACCCATCAAATAACCATTATTTGGATATTTTCCTTTCAGACTTTAATTTTATATATGTGTATTTAATTTAAAAAAGACACAAAACCAAACAAACAAAAACCAAAATGAAAGCTGTGTTTGCAGTATATATATACAATTCTGTATCCTGTTGTTGGAAGTTATTCAAACCTCTTGGTAAACAATTCTAAATGACTACTCCATTGAATGGAATATCATAATTTACTTAATCATTTTCTTATTTTTGTGGATTTAAGATATTTCTAAAGTTTTACTATTAAAAAACAAACTATTGTATCTCTGTATAAAAACACAATGCATAGATTTTTTGTCTTTGTTTTGTTTTTTTTGTTGTTTTGTTTTTTGCAGTACGCGGACCTCTCACTGTTGTGGCCTCTCCAGTTGAGGAGCACAGTCTCTGGACGCGCAGGCTCAGTGGCCATGGCTCACAGGCCTAGCTGCTCCGCGGCATGTGGGATCTTCCCGGACGGGGGCACGAACGAACCTGTGTCCCCTGCTTCGGCAGGCGGACTCTCAACGACTGCGCCACCAGGAAAGCCCAAGGCATAGATTTTTAATAAAATAATTCTGACTTTCATATTTAATAGAAGGTTTCTAGAAGGAATCTTCATTACACGTTTTGGTATTAGTTAAATTCTTACAAGAAAAATAGGAACATTATACCTCTATTATTACCTAAAAAGAGAAAGGTAGCAGGCTTCCCTGGTGGCACAGTGGTTGAGAGTCCGCCTGCCGATGCTAGGGGACACGGGTTCGTGCCCCGGTCTGGGAAGATCCCACA